CAGTAATGATATTAATGATTATTCAATTAAAGTCAACAATTTCTTTTTCATCCTGAGAACATCCAGTTAATTCAGTCCTCCTGAATTTGTTTGACACTCCTTAGCAGTGATATTTCTGTAGATTTGCCACTATTTTATTCCAGATATGAACTCACAGGCCCTATAAATTAAGATTTAAAAATACATAGTGCCATTAATTTACAAAATGGACCTTTGCAATGTTTATGCATGCACTAGTCAATTGAAACCCCCGACCCCCGGGACAGGGCGGGGAATTAATGGGGGAATGGCCGTGGATTAACACGGTCTTAATGCAGCATTTCCCCCGGGGTACAGGGTAAATAACAAGTCAATTTATTAGCCAGGACAATTCCCAAGTCATGAAAATTTCCCAAGTCATGAAAATTTGCAAATTAGTGCTGGGGCCATAGGGACAGTAATTTTAACAGTCAATATTCTCCCGGTAGCAGGGAAATGTCCAAAATTTAACATTGCCAAAATGTTAATTTCCCCGCCCTATCCCGGGGGTCGGGGTTTCAATTGACTAGTGCATTATGGTGGGATGCAGCCCCAATTGTATGTTTCCCACCATATTTTACATGGCTTATGCCATATAACTTCAGTACATGGTCATTTTTGGATCCATGCCTGGGACATATCATAATCTTGAATCTAATTTGGGTATTCAATCATGTTTAATAGACATAGGCAGTCCACATATGGACTGGTCATGCTATATGTCTAAGTGCATGGCTATTGCCAAAATAGCCTCCATCTACACAGACCACAACAAAGGTATAAAAATTACTTACCAAGTGATCACCCATTGTATATAATTTGTCTGACATGTTCATAGATCTTTATTTTTATACTTAAGTTTACACTACAAAAAGGATAAAAATGAGACAATAATTACATGTGAGCATAATAATGGTCATAATTATCCCCCATAGCCATGTGATAAAATCATAGCTACCTCCTTCATATACCTTCCATGACAATTATAGTCACCTGCTTAACCAGGAAATAAAAGGAAATATGAGAAATGGCTAATTATTTAACTGTATGCACTCTTGCCTACCTACCTATAATCTATCCATCACATATTATATGCAGTAAATACATCATTCTTGGTGTGTAAACTGATCAAGTATTTGGTTGACCTTGTTAAAACACAATAGGAATTGTTTATATATATAGCAGTGATGATATGATAGCGTTTTTGACATATCAAATTTCAAAGTTAAAAAGACTCTGACAGAAATTTAGAGTGTAATTGGAAAAATTTGAGAATTAAATGTTTTGTTTTATTGACGGCTTTTATTACAGTATGACCGTGGTTTCTTGTTTCATATATACTGAAAATATAGAGAAAAATATCAAAATGCAATGCCTATATAAAAGTACTATAAAGTTTGTGCATGTGCATTTCATCGTCGTGCACTATGAAAATGACTAAAATCAAATGGTCGGGTTGTTTTAAGCTTTTACAACTAACCTTACCTCAAAACAAGACACTTACCAAGTTATTTTCTTCAGTATTTTTCCCTCAATCATAGATTATAGATCATACCAGATGTCTCACTGTGTATCTATCTCTATGATTTTCGTGTCCGCGATTTTCGCAAGGCTATCACGCCAGATGACGCGCGACACTTACTGCCAAAATGGCGCTTACTGCCAAAAGGCGTGATTGCTCACGTTTCATGGCGTGGACACAGAATAGGAAGTTATACCAGAAGCGTAACTCTAGTCGTTTCCCTTATTGTTTGACGTCCACGAAAATTTTAACTCGCTCACGTCAGGCCACGCCATCCTGGCTAGTACAGCCGGAAGTTTTTATCAGCATTTGGTAGGTACAAAGTGCCGGTTGTACTAGCCAGGATGGCGTGATTGATGACGAATCGCTTGTAAAAACGCAAACAAATATTTGCTCGAGTTACGCTTCTGGTATAACTTCCTATTCTGTGGCGTGGATTACACTTACTGCCAAAATGGCGGCCAATTCGTGCTCATAAAAAATCGCGGACACAATTTTGGCTGAGTGAGACATCTGGTATAATCTATAATCTATGCCTCAATGTTCAGAAAAAACCACAAAGTTTAAACGACATTTATTTTGCTGTAAAAGCCCGTTTGATTTCTTGCTCTCGTGATATTCGTCCCATTCGTCCGTTTTGCATCCAGCGCTTTTGCAACAACCAATAAAAACAAGTTGTCGTGTTGTTCAAATCATTATTTTACCGTCTATTTATAACAATGCTGTTCACGGTTGTTTGAACAACTAAAAACAACTTGTTCTTTTATCAATGTTGTTCACGCCTGTTCGAACAATATTGTTGACGCCTGATGAATAAACAACGCTGAACAACATTGTTCTGACAACATTTGTCAAACATGTTTCATCAACCTTGTTGACGCTTGTTCCATCATGTTGCAACAACCATTGTTCGTTCATCAAGCGTGAACAAGTTGTTGGAACAATGTTGTTAACGATTGTCGCTTGAACAACGTTGTTCAGCCATGATAACCTCATTGTTGCAACGTTGTTCAGCGAATAATGTTGCAACAACCTGATCAATTTTTACGCGTGTATAAATATCAACAACGCCAACTTGAATTATTTTACTCTGATATACTTGATGTAAGACACACGCAACTTGATGTATTCAACAAACAAAACTTGATGTAAATATGTAAACTTGAATACATGATATTTTGTCGCGTTTGGAACGGCATATGTATTCAACAAAGCAACTTGATGTATTCGACAAAGCAACTTCATGTATTGAACAAAGCAACTTGATGTATTCAACAAGCAACTTGATGTATTCAACAAGCAACTTGTTGTATTCAACAAACAACTTGATGTATTCAACAAACAACTTGATGTAAATATGTAGACTTGATATTTTGTCACGTTTGGAACGGCATAGTTTCATAGATGTCAAGAATAGTGTGCTGCCTCGCTGGCGCTCGGCAGCAATAAAGTTATAGAATGGATTTTCGGTTATCTTCTCATGTCACGCAATCACGAAACCCAATCCAATCCCTTAACCTCCTAAGGCATGCATATTTCGTGTCTGCGTGACATGAAAATGTAACCGGATTTTTTCAGAAGAGCGAGTCACAAACATTGACACGTACTTTTGTATTGGCAATTGCTAGATAGTGATACTTCAAAATAAGATTTCCGTTTTTATTCTATTTTTAAAATAAGTTAGGGTTAGGTTAGGGTTAGGTTGGGGTTAGGGTTAGGTTTAGTATTAGGGTTAGGGTTTAGTTTTGCGTTAGGATAGTTTTTTCTACGTTATAAAAACGGAAACCTTATTTTGAAGTATACTATCTAGCAATCACCCTTTTGTATTATGGGGAACCCACTTTGCTCGTGACGTCATTCTATATGACGCTTTTCCTGGAAGCCCGTGCCGGAAGGGGAAGTTACCGTTCAATGCTCGCGATTTCCCGGAATGTAATCGTATTGTATGTATTATAAAGTTTCTTTGGACTTTTGGTGGGCGAGGATGAAATGATGTTTTTTATGCATATCGAAATTATTTTATTTATCAATGCACAAGTGCATTTCACGATACGTCCTTAGGCTATTAATAAATGGGGTTTTAACCTATATTGCTGCATAAAATTTAAGATTTCTTCTAAGTGTTCGTGACATTTCGCAACAAGCTAGCTGGCTGGTGGCCACAATTTTGTACTGGCTGTTCGTGACTGAATGAGAAACTTGTACAACTTTTATAATCAAGGTAAGCCATTTCTTTTACTGTAATTGTTTTTGTTTTTAGTATGGTATTACCCCTGCAGTATTAACAAAGATATTATCTTACTTTATATTGAAATAGATACGTTTTATACTGTTCATTTTCGATTTCGAATATTTTGATAATGCAAACAGTTTTCATTCAGCCAACACGCATATAGGTGTGCATTTCGAAGTTGGGAATTCCCAAACTGTAAAGTTTACTGTGTTTCAATGTAGCAAATAATGACATAATTACATATTAGAACAATAAGTATTCAGTTACTAGACTGCTAGCTGAGATAAAGAAGTGTTTATTTGAAACTATATTCAACAATATGATTGTTTACATTTGCATATAAATTGTTTGTATATAAAAATACTGTATGTTACACAATGATATTGGATTGGATCTCTTGGAGACTGAGTAAGTTTAAACTTTTTGACGTGTTTGATCATTTCATCAAGGGACAGATTAGTTATTAATCCTACTTTACTGCCTGTTCTTGTAAATTCATACTAAATCATTTGACTTATCCATGGTGTTAATTATTAACATCCTAATGAGAAATTGTTATACTCACAAGCAGTTTTGTGGGGCAAAAAATTAGAGGCCAACAATTTCATAGAACATTTTGTAGGTCAACTTTTCAGACAGTTTTAAATGTCGATATCAATTGTCAGCAGCATATATCATACAAAGGAATCAGAAGAAAAATATTTGTAGGCCAATACCGATTTATGGCCATGTTTGGTTTATCTTGGTGAATAAAGTTGTCTGGGATTAGACAGTATAAAACAGGAAGTGCACCCAACTTTGCCCTTCCACCATTAATACCCCAGCGATTGTACAAGCAGCTGACGGCAGTTTTAAAAAGACAAACACGGTCAATCTAAATGGGACCTTTGTCCCCTGCTGAATATTGCAAAACTGTTGCATGACACATTTTTAGTCTGTCGCAACTGTTGTCAAGATAGAACTCGAGCCTATCTTGTTTTAACAAGACAGTGCAGATACTTGTACAGATTGTCTGATTATTAAACATATTAAGTGCTAGCACTTTCCCCTTGATGAGTAAAATGAATACCGTAATTGTTAGGCATTAGACATAGTCTAGTTACCCACAATTCCTAACACTTTCCCTAATTTGACAAGTAAAATTTGGCAATGTTAAATTTGTTCTCTTTTTTATATATTAATTAGGTTAGTAATGATCTAAACGACGCCTCATCATGGCTGACGAAGAAGAAGACTTCCAATTCATTAATTACAACTTTCCACCCGATCCTCCCTGCTATGAAGAAGTTAACGGTAAAATTACATGCGATTTTACTGGCTATGACCCGCCAGCTTGTTTCCCATCAAAGGTATGTTTAAACCACAAGCTTCAAGTTTTGAAGCTTTTCATTGACGATCTTCAAATCCCAAAGGAGCTGGGCAATTTGCATCAATTGGAACACTTAGTTCTTTGTCGATGTGATAATGACATCAATCCTGGGACAAAGATAACTAAAATCCCAGCTACGCTGAAAAATCTTCAAAACCTAAAGGTGCTGGATTTAAGGAATAATCCGTTGCAGATGTTCCCATTGCAGCTTACCGAACTGTTCAAATTGGAAGAACTTCATGTTAGCAATTGTCAGCTGACTAATCTCCCAGATTCATTTGCCAAACTTCAACAGCTGAAAACCTTAGATCTTAGTAACAATCTGTTTAAAGATCTTCCATCATGCATAATGAAGCTTCGCAATCTTTGCAAGTTATACCTCAGTGATGGTTGTCTTCAGAATCTTTCTGAAGAGATTAAAAGTTTGGTCAACTTAGAGCGACTTCAATTGACCAGTAACGAACTCACATCGTTACCCGAAGGACTGTTCGAACTCGTGAATTTAAAGAAATTGTATTTGAATAACAACAAGTTGACGTCACTTCACGACAAAGTTGGTAACCTCGTTAACTTGGAGTACCTGGTTTTAAACCAGAATAAGTTGACGAAGATCCCGGAAAGCATTGGGAAGTTAAAGGAATTACGTTATCTTAACCTTCATGAGAATATGTTATCCTGCCTTCCCGAGAGTGTAACAAGCCTGGAACAGATCGAGACGCTTCTGGTCGACCATAACCCGCTTCAAGTACCACCTGTTCATGTCTGCAATCAAGGTATTCAGAGTGTCCGAAACTATTTTGAAGCCATGAAGAATACGAAAAATATTCATGCAAAGCGATTGAAGGTAGGTGACAATTGATGACTTTAAATCTATCATGATATTGTAGCATTTATGTGTAAAAGTTTGCCATATGTAAAACAAATTACCACAAAATCAAAGTGATTAAATTTGCATAGTATGATGGCCATTATTTTTCAACTGGACACTGAGATAACTACTGCTATAGTTTATTCCTTTTCAAATAGAAATAGTTTTCCTTACTTTTCCATAACAAGATTGCACGGGGTACCCTTTTCCATTTCTAATGAAACTATCTGTTCATTTCATAAAATAGACACCCCTTCTTAATCATACCACGCCCTTTTCAACACTTACAAGAGTGAGCCCATTTCATCTGTAATAAAACCACTCCCTTTTCATATCTAATAAAGCTGTGCATTTGCCTACCTCTAATGAAGCCACCCTTTTCTGTCTCTAAATTATGAGATTGCACCATTTCTCTATCTCTAGTGTGACCACACCGGGCTTTTAGCCAGAAGGGCGTTCCGGGACGCCCCTAGAACAAAAAAGGGACGCCTTTGGACGCCCAAATTCTGTGGGAAAAGGGAAATTATTTCCAATAATTTCTCTAAGTATATTAATATATCCAAAACGAAATAGCTTCAATTCTCATTATTATTATACATTTGACATTTTGATCAATTTGATGGTGTACCTGGCCGAATGAAAATGGCATAGTTAAGTAAAGAAACATAGCAGCACAAAATCACAAAGCCAAATGTGTTT